CCACCCATTCCAGACATAGTACCTGGATGGATGAACAGTTTCTTTGGAAGGGTTGGCATGGTTTATATAGGGGTTTATTGCAATGTGTCCCCACCTTGCCTGGATGAGGCATATAAGCCAGCTCTGTACTAAGTCCAGAACTAATAAAATGTGGTTTCTTTTCTTTGACAAACCCGCTAGAAAAGCAAGCGGTAGTGTTTAATACAAACAAAGTGCTAGGGCAAAGTGTGGGATTGTTTGATTTGTTTCTAGGTAGGCAAGAAAATGGGGTATTGTCATAAAAGCACCCCTGCTTCATTGTCTCTGGGCCAATCGCTTGTGTTTTGCCCTGGACAAAGCATGTTTCCTGAAGCTGGAAAGAGCTGCAGCTTGATTCCTACCTCAGCTTCTGAGGGTCCTCCTTGATCAAAGCTGTGCCAGGTTTTCAACATGAGTGTGACCTCTGGCCTCAACCAGCCTTTCCTGAGCGGAGAACTTCAAGCCCTCATAACAGTGTTGAACTCTTATATGAGATGGGGTGTTAACTGTGGGGTGGTACCTGTAAGCTGGCTATAGAGTCTCTGATGTTTCACTAAGCACCACTTGCTTTCAAAGGCAGCCCTGGAGCCCCGTGACCTTGTGTATGTTTTCAGATCTCACCTGTTTTCATACGCTTGCAGCCACATACCTATAACAAGTCACGATACAGGTTTCTCAACTATCTGTGAGTATGAAAAGCTTCAACACAAGCTCCTTCAGTTAAACCATAGGTAAGCCCTGTGTGGTAAGAAGCAAGCTCAGGTGAGTCTTGCCACGAGAGGGAGACATCATGCATGTAGCCCATGTGTTCCCTGAACACATCCACCTGGATACGACAGCCTAGCCTGGGATTTTGTAGCATTTCTGGGCACATGCAGTTGTTAGTGAAGAGTGAGAACCCAAACTTTGGACCTCAGTTATGCAGCAGGTACCTGTGATAGGAAACGGGGACGTATCTGTTGGCTAGTCATCATCTTCCAAGCATCCATAACTAACAGCCACAGAGCACACAGAAAATGGAATCTCAATCTGCTAGCAATGGGATAGCATGTGTCTGGCCCTCTCTGGTTCAGGTCAGGGACATCCTGGTGCAAGCAGGACCATGCAGCACCGACGGAGATGTTTCAGATACCTGCAGCTGCCTGGCGAGGCCGTTCCCTGTTCATATTGCAAACAGCCATTAGAAAGCCTGAGCTACACCCTGTAACCAGCTCCAGCAGGCTGGGCCGGCAGGAGTGTTTGCACAGAGCTGTGAAAACACAGCACTGCGAGCTCTGCGGCACCCAGGGCGCCCGCTGCCACTCGGGAGAGCACCTCTGCTCCCTCAGCACCAGCCGGGAGATTTCATGGGAGAGGAGGCCTGTTCAGTGTGCATGGGATGGCTCCGTTTCCCCTCCAGATTTGCGCTGCATTTTCCCATGGCTGCAGCACAACAGCGAGGCTCTGTTTTCCTTTGGGAAGGGAATAAGCTGCTTCATCATTGTGATTTCTGTGCAGTGTCCTGTTGATAAGCTCAGTTAACAGCATTGGAGGAAAACTCTAGATTCAGGTCTGAAATATAAAGTGAACAGGGCCTATTTGTTTAATTTGAGCTTCTAAGGTTTAAATCCCAGAGGAAATTAAATTAGGTGCCTAGAGCAATGGCAGTCTGTCATGTTTATTTGCTGGGAATGTCACCTTTAATATCATGCACATATAACGTGTGTGTGTTAATGTAATGGGGTATCATACTGTGCAGGAGCAGGCATGCTACAAGAGCTGGAAACGTGAAATATTGTGAGTGAGAGAAGCCGAGATGGGATTGGATTTATTCTCATCCTTTTCCATAGGAGCAAAGACTCACCAGCATGAAGGTGGTTTTGCTGATTGCAGGTGGGGATGGCAGCCTGATCTATGAGCACAGGCCTTAATGCTCCTGGGCCATTTTGATTGGGATACTTCTAAGAGGAGAAATCTTGTCTAGACGTGAAGGCAGGATGACAATACCTCTTGCTTCAAAGCCCTCTTCAGCAGTTGGTGTGCTGCAGACACATGCCTTCCCTCTGCATCCTCAGGAGAGCCAGTTTCCTGAGCTGAGGGACATGGCTGCTTGTACGTTCAGTTGCACCCATGCCTCAGAGACTCCCTTCTCCAGGAAGGAGAGCTGTACCCAGCAACGTGGGGCTGTAGGGTTTGGGGTGTTTTTTTTCCTGTCTCCTGTTGTTAAGGACAGGCTCTGAGTGACACACTGTGAATGTCACTGCAGCAGTTTGTCATTGCTGCCTGTGACGCCTGCCCTCCACCAAAGTGAACTGTCTGTGCAGGCTTGCAGAACAGCTCTGCAATCTTTTCCCGTTGCTTTGATCTCATAAACACAGTCCATGAGACAGTTGAGCTGTGGACTCCAGTCCCAGTGCACTTGTCAGACCCTTCAGGGAGCCAGTTCAGATCACTGCATCAGTGGAATTTGGGGCTTTTCTTTTCAGCTGGATTACCAAAACTCACTGAGAGGGGACAGTGAGCTGCAGATGGCCTCAGCCATCTCAGGGGGTTGCACCCCAGGTCAGTGCTAGCCATAGTGCTCCACCTAGCTTTGTCCTTACTCTGGGAGTCTGTGGTTTAGCCTGGACTGACCTATCCCCCCCTTCACTCTCTCCACCCTTTGCTGTTTACTGCTGCATACCCTGTCTTGTTTTGCCTCCAGCCTCGGAGCAGCTGGCTGCCTTACACACGTGGTTCCCATTTCTCTCCTGCCTCTGGCACCTCGGGAGCGCCCAGGGGTCTTCCTGCTGCGCTTGTCTTCTCGTCCCCTTGCCAAAGCCACGGCTCCTCGTTGCTGCTCTCTCACCCATCCCAACCTCTGGCATTTTTGCTCATCCATGAATGGCTGAATATTCATTTCCTCCTTGCTGCTTTCCTTGATTGCTGCGAATACCAATTCCTCCTCCTTTTTCCGGCTTGTTCTGTAGATTTTGATGTCTGCCAAATTGTTTTCATTCCCTCACCCCATTGCAGGCTGCACCTCCGCAGAAAGCGATCTGCTCCACACAGAGCCCCGGCTCCCCACCCAGCTCTTTCTTGTGAGCTGAGCGATCAGGTTGCCCTCCTGCCTCCAACACAGACAGACAGCTTCCTCCTCCTGCAAACAGTCAACAAACGGGTGTCTCCAGTTCAACAGGCAGAATAGTTACAGGCTCCTGCAAGGAGACTGCAGCAGTTTGCGGTGGTACTGTGTGTTTTAGTGCAATGTTCCTCAGCTTGCCAGTCTGCAGATTGGTGCCAGGTTGCAGAGTCTTGTCCAAAGCAGCAAGCTCCTGGCTCCTAGCTAAAGCAGGTTTTTTTCAGGCTTGAGGTGTGATCAGAAAGGCCTGATGGAGGTGCCTGCATCCATGCTGAGCAGTTCGGTCATAAGCCCTGGCCTGGAGCCTGCTTGAAGCTAGGCAAAGAAAGGAATGTAGTGGAAAGGGGAGGTGCAGTTCCCTCATCCCCTGGGAAATCTGTGAGCAGTGGCAGCAGGGTGGCAAGGTTGAAGGGTATGGAACTGCAGGCACCTGATAGCTCTCAGATCTGGATTTGGTGTTTCTGGATCTCTTGCCAACAAAGGAAGAAAGGGAGACCTGAATCTTGCCTTTCTCTTTCTGTCCAATAGTCCTGCTAGTGTGTGACCAAATGGAACCCAGAGGCTTTCACTTGCCAAACAGCCCATGGCATCCTGGCGATCACCTGCTCCTTACTGGTGTTACTGGTGTTACTGGTACCAAGGAGCTGGTGAGCATGGGAGGTGGGGCTCTGTGGTGGCTGCCCCTCTTCCAGATGTGAGCTGGAGGGGAAGGCAGAGAGGAGTGGGGCTGGGCACATAGCTCCATCAGTGTTTGGTGCTGGAGTGGTTCCTTCTATGGGAGGGAGCACAGAGTTCATTGCTGGAGAGAACAGAGAAAGGGAAGAGTAAGAAAAGGGGCACTGGGGAGGTGGTTGCTGCAGGATGGAAAGCAATGCCAGAGACAGAGGAAAGGGTACAGTGAAGAAAGGAAAGGAGGAGCAGCAAGGGAGAAACAAACCTGTAGGCTGAAATGGAACTAATCCGCTGGATACTGCTGCAACCTAACTCCCAGGAATGCCACTGCAAGGCCCCCTCACCGCGTGGGGATGTTTGCCTGGTCCTGCACGGCTGTCTCTGCTCCTGTGCCAAGCCAGCTGGCCTGCCTGGAGCTCTGGCCTTTATGGCTGTTGTGAAGAGAGGCAGGACGTGTTTGCTTTTGGCTATCACATGCTTTTGTAAGAGGGTGGGAGTCCCTCCCCTTGAATTCCTGGGGCTGGTTCCCCACCCCCCCCCCCCCCCCGGTGTCTCTGGTGTATGTGACCTGGGGAGCTCCATGGGGCCAGGGTCGTGGCCCTCAGCTGCTTTCCTGGGCTGCTTTGTGCATCCCAGCCTGGCCTTGAGATGAGGTAAAAGCTTTCTCAGCACAGGCACGTGTGATACAACGTGGAGGTGCCTGGCATAGGCCCCTCTGGGACCACCTCCTGTACCCAGCATCTGGTTAATCTGAATGATGTGCTGCACTCAGGTCAGAGCCCTCCCCGTGCCCAGAGCACCAGCTCTGTATGGGTCCCTGTGCTGCTGTTTCTTGATTAAACTGAGCTTAACTTCAGTGGATCAGATGAAAGCGGCTGTCTCCCACTGTCTCTCTAACAGTTGTTATCCTGACCCTTTTTCCTTCTTCCCCACTCCCTATGTCTAAAGCTGAGCCTCTAATTTTAGACTGAAGAAGATAATTGAGGTTCAAAGAAAGACTGCTGTATAATTTTAACTTTTTTCTTTCAGTGGTTGGGGTGGGAAGCAAAGTTAGGAGCTCCTTGCCCTCAAACCCTTGTATTGCAGGAAAGAAGGACATGGAGGAAGGAGTGAGCTGGTACAGTCTGCTCTCTGCAGAAGTCGTTCGGTTTCTTGGCTATTAGCTAAAACTAGGAGTGTAAAGGCATAAACTACTCTATTTCCTTTGCAGATCCTATTGACCGAAGAGTTCGTAGAGAGAATGCTGGAAGATTTAGAAGATCTGAATTCTCCAGAGGAAGTAAGGCTGCGTCGTTCCCATATCTCCCATGTACTGTTCCAGAGAGCTTAGCCCATCCTGCAGCTTGCCTTTGATCCTCCCCTCTGCTCGCAGGCTGTAGCCTGCATCGTAGACATGAGGCCTTGCTAAACCTTCACATCTGCTGTGACCTAAGGCACTGAGAGAAGGGGTTGCGAGAAATACAGGGCAGAGATGGGTATTAAGTGAGACTCTGCATTTCCTTTCCACCAGCATCTTTCCCAACGTGGTATGTGAGCACCCCAAATCAAGGTGGTGCAGCCCCTGAGCCAGGTGGAGGGGTTTCCTTCATGCCATGCATAGTTCCTTCCACAGGAGCACCAGGCACATCAACTTCGCTGCTTTGAGAAAGGCTGAAAGTGGTGGCAGTATTTTTACTGCTGAGCAACCTGTGATAGGGGCTTCCATTCTGGGGCCTGGGCAGCAGGGAGTGGGGGGGTTCACATCTGCTGCTTGGCCTTCACTTGCCAAGTGAAGGAGAGGACCATCACCAGCCTGGAAGCCTCATAGCAGCAGCCAGGGGAGCTTTACAAAGCTTTGCCGTGCGGTACTAAACTTCTCTCTGCCATGTGATCTCTTCCTGGGGAACATTTAACACCCTGTCTCCCATGCATGCCATATAAATACTCTGCTTGACTTCAAAGAGCAGTGGCAGAAATGACATGTAATATTTTTAATCCCATTTTTTACAGCTCCCTGCAGACTCTAAAGAAACTTTGCTTGGTTTGTAGAGCAGCCCTCCCATCCCTCACCCTGCTCCCTTCCCCCATGAAAATCTCAGGGCTCTAATTGTTTAATCCAAAGTTGATTTAATGCCAGGGTATTCTTCACTGTGTGAGTGAGGGGAGCATGCTGCTAGCTGTGCAGTGACTTTCAGGCCAGCTTTTATCCAGTTAAACCTAATCCAAAGCTCATTTTTGCTAGTGACATAGAAGCCCAGGAGCACTTTAGTTTGAAGGCCCTTTAGTTAAGGCTTTGGGCTGCTCTTGTTCCTTCGCTCTCCACTGAGAAGCAGAGGCAATGAGCATGGCAGCTCCTGGCACAGCAACTGGGCATTCGGTTCTGAGTTGCTGTGACTTTGCTGTATTAAAAAGTGGAAAACAAACAAATGCAAAGGATGACTTCTCCAAGAGGATTGCTTTGGAACCACTCCTGTTTATAAAAAGGAAAATACTTGAGATGAAATGTGAGCTTTCACCATCCAGATTCCTCCAAGGATTTGTAACTTGCAGGACCCTGGGTTGGGCCAACCGAAGGCGTTCCTCAGCAGCCCTTGCTGTTGCTGATGATGTTCCTGTGGTAGAATGAAGCGCTGCAATGAGAATCTTTCCTTTGCTGCATAAAGAGCCACCTGTGTTAAGTGAAGCTAGATGATCCGAGTATCTTTAGCATGTTTTTTACATACCCTAGAGCTGAACTCAGAAGAATCCCCTCAGTATGAGGGCTTGAGTTTAAAAAGACACCAGCCCTAAGTGGGTCTTGGGCTGTTTATGTTTCCTAGAAGAGAAAGAGTGGAAGTTTATAGTAGCCACTATCCTGAAGGACCCTTCTTCCATGCCCCCAGATCATGGCTCTGACGCTGAACCCCCAGCCTGCATACTCAGGTCGGTAGGTACCAACTGAAGGTCATCCTTATAAACAGCTGCGTATGGAGCAAGGTTGGGAGCAAATTCATGTTAGAGCCACCCTTGCTGTGGAGCAGGCAGCTGGAGGGGATTTCCTTTAGCAGGAACTTGCCACTGGGCATGTGTTAATGTCCTTCAGAAATTGGGCACTTATGGGAAGAAAGACAAGTAATTAGGTAAGGATAAATGATTCCCAGGTCAGTGCCCCCTTGCACCAGCTCTGATTCACGTAGGCCCTGGGAAGCTTATAGCGTTGATGGCTTTGGTCTGAAGACTTTCCTAGGAGAGGACCACTGTATCTGTAACTGTTCTGGATAAGCTGCCTCCAGGTCAGGTTGTTACTGGTGGTGTGGGATCCCGGTAAGATTCCTTCCTGGGAGTCCTTCTGGGGTGTCAGGGACTATCGTGGTGTCAGTGGGTATAGCAGATCCTGCAGACTGGCTTCCAGAGCTGTCCCAACATGTTTTGGACCCTCAGGTTGGACACCAGGATTGCATGAAATGCCTGTGCAGAACTGGTTGCTATCCAGCTCTGAATGGGGCAGATTTGTAGCTTAAAAGATTCCACCCCTCACCTCCCACAGAGCTGTTTTTGAGGTCTCTGCGAATGCATGGGCCCTGGTCACATGCAGCTGTGAGAAGGGTTGGTGGTAAGGCCCCTTGGAGCTCTGTCGCTGTATGGTTGTGTTTGGGGTCAGAGATGCTGGGGTGACTTCCCAGCCTAAGGCAGGATGCCCTGGAGCGATAACAGGATGGGACGAGTGCACTCACCTTGTTTGGGAAACACTGGCCAGAGACAGTGCTGTGCAAACCAGACTGGGGCAAAAAAATCTCCGTTCTGAGTGCTTCAATCAATGTTTGCAAAACAGCCTGAGCAGCTGAGTGCCTGTGTGAATATGAGGCATTGTACAGCACCCTGTGAAGCCTTTGTACCAGAGGTGGGTAGGGCTGGAGCAGAAATGCTGTTCAGGCACACTGTCTTTCCTCAGCCAGGGTTTGCTCACCCAGAGGTGATGGCCATTTGCAAGCCTGTCACCCAGCAGAGCCATGCTAGCTCACATCCCACCCTGTACCAACAAGAGTTTGAAAGCTGTCGTAAGTCTCACTTTAAAGCAAATGGGGGCTGGTGTAGTGCAAGGAAAGGGATATGGTCAGGTTGGAAGGGAGATAGTTCTGCTATGACTTTTCAGAGAGTTGGGAGGGGAAAGGGTGATGGGGGCAGAAACCCTCCAGAATCCGTCTGATGAAATAAACAGTGCTTGGGCTGAAAACTCGAGCTTTACTTTGGCAGCTGAGGCAGAGGCTGCATTATCTAATGTCCAGTGCTGTCCAAAACACACTGATGGGGAAATGTTTTCTTAGTGGCCTCTTGTTTTAAAAAATAATAATAACATGGGGCTGCCTGCCTTTGCACTGGATTTGTTTGTTCTGTGCAGGTTGCAATGATATACATTGACTGGTTCTCTTTACTGTCTTGCAGTTTAAACTTCCAAAGGAGTACAGCTGGCCTGAAAAGAAACTGAAAGTTTCCATCTTGCCAGATGCCGTGTTCGACAACCCGCTGCATTAGAGCTGAATTACACCCTTCTAACAACTGGGAGAGCCAAGTTACTGTCCATTGCCCAGTGACTCACAGGATAATTAATGCAGTAAAAACTCTGCCTGCAAATAAAAGAGTTTGCTGCGCAACCACTGCGAACAGAAGAGGAGCTACTCAGCACCAGCCCAGACCGAACTGAGCCCTATCCTTTATCCTTCCCAAGGCTGAGCTCTCTGGGAACAGCCTGCGTATGTGTGAGTGCGAGTGAGAAATATTTAACTATGAAAATTAGTAGTAAGAATCCTTTTTCTCTCTCCTAGCTACAGAACTCCCCTCTGCCTTAGCTCAGGGTGTAGATGCTCTGCACGCCTGTATTTACACATGCGTTTCTGCCAGGTGCGAGCCTATAATCCATGGATTAAATGTTCTTTACGTGACTCTGGAGTCCTTTTGTTAGCCAAACTTTTACTGACTGCAGAACTGTTCTTCCATGTGCTATTTTTTTTTTCTTTTCAGAAACGGAATGGTATTTCCCCTGTTTAAAGGAGGCCAAAAGCTCACATGCTTGAAACTGAACAGATTTAAAGATGAACTTTCTAGTTCAGTCAAGAAAAACAAACCCAGATCCTCCCTGCCCTCAAATTAGGCATGTTTTAAGTGTTGGTCTTGGTGCTATTAGCTATGGTATCACTGCAAACAGAGGCAACTTTATTCTCACGCATCCTGTCCTTGTGCCTGAACCCCAGGGAAGGTCGCAACCCCTGGTTTTGCACAAGCAGGAGGAAGAAAGCTACCGGGGCGGGGGAGATCTCCTGTTTACAGTGTGTTTATCTTTAAAGAGATACTGTCAAGTATTTTTTCCTTGCTATTGTACAGAATTTGAGAAGCTAGAAAGGAGCATTTGTTCACAGGGACAACTTCAGCAGCTCTGCAGGATCCAGAGGGCTGCTTGAAAGCATATGAAACAGAGATCTCCACTGCCCTGGCGCAGCAGAGAGGAGACAGCCTCAATAAAGCCAACTATTCTCCCTGTTCCAGCAGGGTTGTGCCCTAGCACAGCTCCATTTTCCCCTCTAGCCTCACTGTGATGGCTCTTCTTCTTGTTGCTGATGTCCTTCCTTTCAGATAGATTTGAGCTGTAAAGCATCAAAATCAGCTTGAAAAGACCCTCCCTCTAGATCCCCATGGCTTCCTCCTTGGAGTAAAATGTGGTGTGCAGAGGAAACAGTCTCTGCAGGGTCAGGTTTTGTCTCTGCATCGAGATGCTGGCCCCTGTGGATATGCTGCAGCAAACCACTGCAGGCTTTACCCCCTGCTGCTGTTGCAGGTTGTTTCTGATGCATATTCCCCACCCTTCTTCTGCCCATTGTCTTTTGGTGACAACTCTTCACTCCTTGTCAGGGGAAGTGCAGCTTTCCTTCCACCCCTTTTTGCCTACAGGAGAACTTAGTGATTTACTCACAGTTCCTGTGTGATCTCAATATCAGTATAACAGAGTATAACAGAAGCTTTTAACACTCAAGTCCCCTGATTGAACAGCAAAGTCCAGGAGGCCTCACGGTACCCCAGGGTTGGTTTTCTGTTTGTTTCCTGATTTAATTTCTTCCTGGCACATTCAGCTTTGATGGTTTTTGCATATATTTGGGGCTGGGTAACGTTGGTCAAGAAGCAGAGCTAGGAGCCACAAAGCTTTCTTTGGACTTGCTACAGAATTCTGCTGTGGCCTCAGGCAAGTCACTCAATGTCTCTCTGTGCAGAGGGTGATTATTGACTAGAGGGCTGTAGGACCTACCGAAGCATGCCAGGGTTTGCAGGGGAGGGCGTGCTTTGTGTACAAAGTAGTATTTGTATTATTATAATTGTTGTTATATTATAATTTAAGACAGGCCAAATGCAGGGTCCAACACTGCTCGGCAGAACCTTCCTTTCTGCAAAGCTACGGAAGTAATTTACATGTAAATGAGTTTGTAATTTTGTCTGAACTCACAGGATCATCTTAGAATCCTGCTGCGAAAGAACAAACTTTCAGATATCTGCATGTGCCAGCCGGGGGGGGTTCTGTGCAGTGGCAGACTGCAGTCATCCGTGGGATCTCTTGGCCAGTTTTCATTGTCCTGGTTAGCACGAAGCATCCCTTCTGCACTGGAGATGTATGTGCAGGGGACGGCGTGGGTGAGAAAATGGCATGAAGATGTACCAGTCCAGCTTCAGAAATGACATGCCCAAATGTCCCACCACCAGATAATGAACAAACAGATGATTGTGGCAATCAAGGGAAAAAGGCAAGGGCAGCAACTCCGATTCTGTCCCAGAGCCATCCGCCAGCAGTAGCACATGGGCTGCTCTTGTACGATGCTTGCTAGGGGTGCCTGCAGCAGAGCTAGGCCATCGCCATGGTGCTCGCTGCTCTTCCTTGTTTCCAGATGCTAGCTCTCATTAAAAGGAGCTTAAAATCCACATCTTGGTGAAGAAGGGACATTTGGAAGGTCAATCGTTGCTGTTCCTGCAGAGATCAGCACGGGGCAGAGAGAAGTCCATCAGATCCTCTCTGGGCTCTGACACACATCTGGAAAGTTTAGGACCTCCTGCCCTATGAACTCCTTGAGCCTTCACAGTGGGGATGCAGTGCTTTACGCAGTGAATGCACCTCCTCCAGGCTGGCTTGTGCTCCAGTTCTGCCTTTCTTATGTGTATGTTTTCCTCGCATATTTACTCTCATGAGATGTGCTGGGTTGGGTTTTCATTGACTTCAGAGGGAGCATGCTGAATGCATTTGAAAATCCACCCAGTATCTTTGTGTGCGTGTGTGTATTTTTGTTCTATGTCATGTATTTATATATAGTTCTGTGTATTTGAGTTATGAACAGGTGGCATGACAGAAATCTCTATTTCTGAGACACTTTCTCACAGATCCTTGCTGGTAGCCAAATAACAATTGAGGGGAAAGTTTAAAGGCAAGGAAATGAAATCTTCCTATTTAGTTAAGGGGGGAAATATTAGACAAGTGCTAAAATAGAAATATCTGTCTCTTATAGTAGGTGTAACAATGAGAGAAAGCGGTGAAAGTCAGCCTTTAAGCTCCAAGGTTGTGTCACTGCCTCTCAACAGTTGTCTAAGAATACGAAAGTTGCATGTTCCTCAGTATCATGAATTGCTGCGCACCCACAGGACCTCCCCTCCCCTGACTCACATCAGGTTTGCAACCATGCCAAAGGCTTACTCATTGGCAACTAAATGAGATCTCAAGCTTGGATATTTTCATCCTGGGACAAGAGGACGTGCCTGTGTGTGAAGGAAATGGAAAAGAAACCGTTGTATTTTAGTGAGCATTTTCCCTTCAAGAAGGGAAACGCATCAGTGTTAATAGCACCATGGTATTTGTCTAGCCCAAACCTGCTGAGATGGTAGGTCCCTGGTGCTGAGTTTTTCTAGATTGTGTGGAAGGTGTGAAGGAGGATTGTCTGAAAACAAAACCTGTGAGGCTTGTGTTGGCTAAAGATAACGTTCTGGATGGAAATAAACGTGGTTCAGAAGCAGCGAGTACAGGTTCTCTCCCTCCTGGAGAAACCTGGCGATGCAGGTCAATAGGGATATTGCCAGAGATGAAGAGCCTCATGGCAGACCCGCAATGCCTTGAAAATCCAACATGTGACAGCAATTCTGAAATGAGAGAAGTCCCAAAAGCCAGGACTACTCTCCCTCTCGACTTGTGATTAAGAACAGAAGGAATGTATAGTTTCACTCCTGAAGTATGTGGGCTATGATCTGAGCAGAGCTTGTAGCTGGTGTGACCTACAGTGATATTTTCAGTGGCTCAGAGAGGTGGTGCCTGCTGTGTATCGTGTCTTTGAGGACGGTGATATATTGCTCTTACTGTACAGAGATTTGCCAACAGTGATTTGAAATTATATTCTGAAGCTCTTCAAATACTCAGTTACTCTTGGATGGCTTTTGAAATTACACCAAGTCATCAAGTGGTCTTTGAAGAAGTGGGGGTTTTGTTGTTTTTCATCTGTGACCAGTAGAAATATTTAGGGGGTGTAGCTCTTAAAAAGAAAACAGTTGAAAGAGATGCTTGCCTTGGAGGGGGCAGATTGCTGGGGAGAGGTTGCATGGTAGGGGAGCAACCTCCTCCTGCACCCACAGCTCAGACTCATTCAGGGCAGTGCAGCCCTTATGCATCTCAGGCGCTGCAAGGGGAGCTAACATGGATGAAAGGAAGCCAGAAACCAAAGTGAGAGTCATCAGGGCCTCAGCACAGCATGGGGCCCTGCAGGCAAGTCCTCATTTCTATGCCAGGACCCACTGAGGTCCTGCACAGGCACAGGCAGCCGGCACGCACATCCCGCTGCGTGTTCCCGCTCTGGCCTGTACCCCTCACTGATGGCAGAGACTGCAAATGGCTGCATCTGAGGTAGAGTCAAAGATGGGGAGTGGCAACGTGGCTGCTGCTGTGGGCTCATTTGTTATTCTAATCAGTGTGGGGTGGGGAGCCGAGCTCCTGCTCCGCTGCCCCTCGTGAGAACCTCTAGGCTGGTCACCGAGCGAGCCTTATTGTTCGCCCGCCATCTCTTCCCTTTGGCACGTGTCCCCCAGCTCCCCACGGAATCCTTTCTCTGGTGCTTCACTGGAAGGTGCTTGGCTGGCTGCGTGCTTTGCAGGACGCTGGGTTAGATGACACCTGGGATCATGGCTGCTCGGCTGTTTGTCCTCCTTCCTCCTGGGTGGGCATCTGGAGCGCATGACCTGCTTTGCCAGCTTGTATCTGGCCAGTGCAAGGCAGCGTTGTGTCAGCTGGGGAGATCCACAGACCTTCAGGCCAGAGGAAACCCTTAGACCTCTGTGTCCAGTTTTCCTTGAACCCTGTGGCTCTGCTGTACCCAGTCCTGGGCGCCAGCCCAGGTGAGGAGGGCATCCGGCACCATGAGGGCCCTTCCACTTCCCGGGGACTTGGTTCTCTACGTGACTGCCCTCCATTTAGAGTATATATTGTGCCTTAATTCTCCCCGTGAGTGAAGCTGCAAGGGCACATGAACTGTCGAGCAACCAGGAATCTCTTTCAGTGCATCTGTCCCTATCGATTAATGGCAGCCTGCACAGCAGCCAGACTGTATCCAAAACAATCTCAAAATGCGTGTTTGCCAGTGAGGTTCACCTCCAAAGGTTTTAAAGCTGGATTTAGGTCTCTTGGACCATGGCAGTTTTAATGAGCTCTGTTGCAACCTCCTATTTTGATAATGTTTTTTCTGTTGCGCAGTTCTCTTTTCAAAAGAAAACCCTCGTGTTTGACGTTAGTCCAGAATTTCTAATGGAGAATAAGCCTGAGGTTGCAAATGTGTTTAGAACCCAGCCTTGCATCAACCTGTCTCTTTCAGGCAGTGAACCTGTCGTGTATCGTGCTTCACCACCTCTTCATTTCTACCATGGTTCTGTTTCC